GCTGGCCCTTCTTCACACAAATTTTTAACAGATCACTGGAGCTGTGCAAAGTCCCTTCCTGCTTCAAACGCTCCACCAACATTCCCATCCCAAAGAAACACAAAATTACAGGACTAAATGATTACAGACCTGTTGTTTTAACGTCTGTGGTCATGAAGTCATTTGAAAGACTGGTGCTGGTCCACCTGAATGACATCACTAAAGTCTTCTTAACGAGCAAACAGGTCTGTGGATGATGCAGTCGACATGGGACTGCATTATATCCTACAACATCTGGACAAACCAGGGACTTACGTGAGGATCCGGTTTGTGGACTTCAGCTCGGCCTTCAACACTATCATCCCAAACCTCCTCCAGTCCAAATAAACCTAGCTCTCTGTGCCCAGCTAGTAAGGCTGGGAAAATTCTCATCCAGCACCCGTATGATCAGCACTGGCGCCCCCCAGGGATGTGCTCTCTCCCCACTGCTCTTCACCCTCCAATGACTGCACTACAAAGGACCCCACTGTCAAGCTCCTCAAGTTTGCAGACGACACCACACTTATTGGCCTCATACAGGATGGTGACGGGTCTGCTTACAGACAGGAGGTTAAAGAGCTGGCTGTCTGGTGCAGTCACAACAACCTGGAGCTGAACATGCTCAAAACAGTGGAGATGATAGTGGACTTCAGGAGAAACCCCCCTGCACTCCCCGCACTCACCATCATGAACAGCACTGTAGCAACAGTGGAGTCATTCATATTCCTGGGCACCACCATCTCACAGGACCTGAAGTGGGAGTTCCACATAGACTCCATTGTCAAAAAGGTCCAGCAGAGGCTGTACTTCCTTCTCCAACTGAGGAAGTTCAACCAGCCACAAGAGCTGCTGATACAGTTCTACTCTGCAGTCATTGAATCTGTCCTCTGCACTTCTATAACTGTCTGGTTCAGCTCAGCTACCAAAACTTACCTCAGAAGGCTACAACGGATAGAACGGACTGTTGAGTGAATCACTGGTACAACCCTCCCCACGCTCCAAGAGTAAAGGGTAAAAGAGTAAAAGGGCTGGCAAAATCATTCTGGACCCCCCACACCCAGGCCATTTCCTCTTTGAAACTGGCTACAGAGCACTGAGTACCAGAACGACCAGGCATAAGAACAGTTTCTTCACTCAGGCAATCCATCTCATGAACAGTTAACTTTACAATAAAAATGTAATACACAACACTATTTATACATTTATTTATTTAACACACTATAGTTCTTATTTACATTTACTTGCATTTGTACATAACACACATGTACACACAAATACCATCTATTGTTTATTTTGTATATTGTGTTTTTCTTCAAAAAACTGTTGTATATTGCTATTTCCTATTACTTATTATATTTTTATTATCTGTCTTGTCACTGTAATTCTATTTGTGCTGTGGAAGCTTCTGTCACCATAACAAATTCCTCTTATGTGTAAACATACCTGGCAATAAAGCTCTTTCTGATTCTGATTCTGGCTACAACTTTGCCCCCCCCCCCAAAAAAGCAAATTCTGTCATAATTTATTCACCCTAATAGGTTGTTCCAAACCTGTATGACTTCCTTATATTTTGAAGAATGTAGGTAACATTTGAGGAGACATTTCATAAAATATATTCCACAGAAGAAAGTCCTACAGGTTTGGAAATCATGTGGGTGACTGAATTAATGACGAAATCATGACAGAATTTTAATTTTTTTGGGCCACATATCCCTTTAAATTCCGGTATGTTCATCACACAATGTTATTGTCTCTATTTATGATACTTTCATGGTGTTTTGCTTTTTTTTTTAAGTTAAAAAGCTTTAGTCTCCACTCACTGCCATTCCAAAAAGATATACTAATAGACTATTAAACATTTTGTCATTTTGTTCTACAGAAGAAAGAAACAGAAGAATTTCAGCATCGGCTGACGTGACCGTTTGTGGTTTTCTCGCATCCGTCTGCAGTGTATTCATCTGTTGCGTCAATTTGTTCATGCCACGACAGTCTCGAGAAGGTCACTCATCTAACGACGTCCGTGTGATATCTTTTGAATATTAATCAGTTTCTGTCCATCCAAGGGGATGAGTTCATTTTCTCTTTTTGTCGCTCCTTCATGTTCTCCCTCACCCCCTCAGCTGTGGAATATGAGATCAGCCTCTACACTGTGCACAGCCACCGGTGGCCAGATGTTCAATTAGCCTGTATTTCTGTTCGGAGCTTTGATGCTCCCCGCACTGCTTTCCCGCCTCAGCGCTTTGTTCTCAAATCAGCCTAAGGCTAATTTCACCGCCCGCTGTGAAGACGACACACAACCTGGCACCTCACACCACACCGCTATTAATGCTAGCTTGTTTATATACATACATGCTTGGAAGGAAGGTGACTTGCTAAATGACAAATATGGAAAAGCGAGTCCTTGGGTCGCACTCGCTTTCCCTTTGTTGGTTCGTCTTTCATCTATTGTGTGCCTTAGGCCTGGCTATAGGTGAAGCAGGAAGGAAATAAACAACTATAGGGGTTTTCATGAGGCCCTTTATTCAAAGCACCACTCTTGAGCCTTTGTGTTTGGATGGAGCCTTGATTCTGTTGTCTTCCTCTCGGTGGTTGTCTATCCACGAATATGGAAAAAGCCCAACGCGCGACATACGGCCTGGTGCTCGCTGATGTTTCCAGCTTTGATTTGGTGCTGATTTCCTGTGACTTTTGTCCACCTGTCGCCTGAAGTCTCTTCATCTGAAAGAGTTCTCCACCACCTGCACACAGCTCTGCCCACAGTGACTATGGGGTTTAAGCTCTCTCTTTCTGTCCCAACTCTCAACGCAGGCTTTATTAGTTAGGGAGCACTGTGTAGTGTGTATGTTTGTGTACGGCTGTGCACAAGAGGCACAACTCAGCTTTCAAAAAGCGATATCACTTTTGAATAACAATGTATTTTTTGTGTGTATATATGTATATATATGATTATTTATTATCATTAATGTCCTATCAGAATAGGCTTGGTGAGATGGAAAAGGATTTATTTTAGGGCTTATTTAAAAAAAACTATTGTTGCTTGTTAGGAAAATCTGACAAGCAATGATTTTGTTATGTATTAATTGTATCATGGGCTATAATAATAATAATAATAATAATAATAATAATAATAAAAAAATATATAATAATAAAAAAGTAGGCCTATACTAATACTAGCAGTATATACATTTAGTTTGAATATATTTTATTAGGCTATAAATATCTGGCTATGTTACAGCTCCCCTTTAAAGCTCTTGTCTTTTTCTCATTTTCCATCTCACCAACCCTTTTCTGCTCACAGGTGATCGGAGTGGATAGTGCGTGCATCCTGCTTTGTTGCATTTTGCTGATTTTTGTAAAATAACTTGTTTTTTTCTCTTCAAATAAAAGAGTGGTTTCAGTTTAATATGCTGCAGGCTCATTTATTGGTAATAAATAATTGATAATAAATAATATTGATGATAAATAATAAAATAATGATTGTTTTTGAAGCTGCGGTTGCTTATTTGAGTTGGCAACAGTGTTTATGTCATATGATAAGTGATATCACACTAGCAGCAAGAGCAATAGGCTATCACACGAATGCTGTTTGTGTCCCAAATAGCACGACTGTAAATGTGATTTTATACAACAGCTCAGTAAATCTTAAAAAAAAGAAGTAAATGTTGTGTTATATTTTAGATAGGCTACAATATTGTCTGTTTTTGCTCGATTTTGCCAACGAAAATATTACCTATAAACAGGGGTGTAAATTTCGTCTAACAGTAGGGGGGGGCAATAAACAAAATTTCTCAAGAGCAATTTTTGAAGGGGACACAAATAATACAGCTAAAATTGTACTTGTAAGGATATGTATACACAGAGGAATGGCTTACTACTATTAGTGTAAAAATTAGACAACTTAAAGCTGTTGTGGTCGCGCCGAGACAGCACCCGTGTCCGTTGTAGACATTACTATCTGTCACAGTGTTGCCAAGTCCGCGGTTTTCCTGTGGCTACTTTATCACTTTTGTTGCGGGCTGTTTTTCATGTCCGCGGGTTGAAGCAACCCCAATAACGTGTATTTTAGCCCCCGGAACGTGATTTTACCGGGGGACCCCCTTGAAACGTGGATAGTTTGGGCTAGTTTTGAGTAGCGATTAGGCGGGTTTTGTTATGAAAACCTGGCAACCTTATATCGTCCGCTCATACGAGTGTCTCTCGCGTTGAGAGGTTCCATTTTCCTTCCACACTTCTCACACACAAACATATACTTAAATTGTAATCCTCTTTTTTTGGTACCACCATTTCTACACAAGCTGTCTTAAAAATAGGTGTGAATTAAACTTGAAGTGTAACACTCTTGTTATTTAGTTTGAAAAGGGCACAGATAAATATATTTTCCAGATTGTGCTTCTATATTTTGAGTGTTTGCTCTCCAAAAAAAAAGAGAGCAAAGAATACGCAACCTAACTTAAAGAATTTAATAATACAGTATAAATAACAACTAAAAAAATATAAAATTGAATAATATTAACTTGAAGATATAAGTACAAAAAGGTATTAAATCTTAAATATGCTAATTTATCATAATATAATTTAACATATCTAAAGCTATTTTCTTAAATGATCAGAAATTTGCTGTTAATGTAGCTCTAACTACAATACTCAGCCAACATTCACTTAAGCCTTGCAGAGACACAGAAAGAGTTATTTGGGGAACAAGAATAAAAAAGCTATGCCCTTTTGGGTTTTTAAACCATTAAATGTAAAATGAATTAAAATTCCAACCAATTAACATTAAAAACACTGCAAATTGATTTTAAAAGAAGATAAACTGATGTAGTAAAAGTGTGCATTTCCTGTCGTGTGTTTTGGGTAATGTTCTGTCTGAGCTAATGGCTAGTCACTATGGCAGCAGCGACAGGGTTCTGCCCACTGACTAGATGACCTTCCCAAAGCACCTACACAAACACTAATTAAGACACACATAATACAGAACCTACCGTTGACGCACTCAAACACATCACAGCACCTCCCAGGTGTTCCATCACCACGGGACACGACCTGTGGGGAAGTCCCCGCTGAGCACTGTGGGAAGGTGCAGAGGCCAGGCAAACACTCACATCTGAGTAAAATAAGGAGAGAAACAGAGAGAGAGAGAGAGAGAGAGAGAGAGAGAGTAAGAGTGATCCTGGTGGGGGGCCTGTCATACCTAATTCATAACAACAAAACACTCTCTTCTGTCACTGTGAAGTTTATTAACTTTCTGTGCTGAAATAATACAATATTAATACTCTGAGACAGTGTTTCCCAACCTTTTTTTAGTCGCAGCACCCTTTGGAAATTTTAACAAATTAGTGGCACCCTACAAAATTAATTTAGTCACAATAGTTGAATTTCTAACTTCGAAATGATACTTTGAAAAGTATAGATATTCGGTACAACAGGGAAGAACTGCAGAATATACTGTCATACAGATATTTTTTATAATTTTACCGGGGGACCCCCTTGAAACGTGGATAGTTTGGGCTAGTTTTGAGTAGCGATTAGGCGGGTTTTGTTATGAAAACCTGGCAACCCTTTCCCTCAAGCAGGTAACATTATTGTTGCTAACATAGCGGACTCATCGAAAAATACATTGGCATCCTCTGTCCTAAAGAGAAAATAATCACTTCATCCGATGTTTAAGTGAATAAAATAGCCTTGACAGCTTTTATTTTACAGTGGGGTAATTTTGTCACAGTAGCACGAGATAGCTTGATTTAAAACTTTCAATTGAATAAAAATGACAAGTAAGCAGTCAGTAATTAAATAACAACAAATAAAGAAATTACTAATGATAGCACAAATAAAAAATAACGATAGGCCTACAAATGAAATAAATAGCTTTTTAGTTTTTCAGGTAGGTCTAACAGTAGGGCTACTAAAGGGGTCATATGATGCTGCTAAAAAGAACATTATTTTGTGTATTTGGTGTAATGAAATGTGTTTATGTGGTTTAAAGTTAAAAAAACATTATTTTCCACATACTGTACATTATTGTTTCTCCTCTATGCCCCGCCTTTTTGAAACGTGTTGATTTTTACAAAGCTCATCGGTCTGAAAAGCGAGGTGTGCTCTGATTGGCCA